ATTGCAGAAATTCAACCCAAAAATTAATGCAGGAATTATAAAAAAAAAACCCCAAAAATTCCCCAAAAAATCCCCAAAAAATCCCCAAAAAATCCCAAAAAATCCCCAAAAAAATCAAGAAAAATTCCCCAAAAAATCCCAAAAAATTCCCCAAAATTCCCCCAAAAATTGGCCCAAAATCCCCCAAATTTGGCCCAAAAAATCCTCAAAAATTCAAAAAAAATCCCAAAAAATTCCCCCAAAAATTTGTCCCAAAATCCCAAAAATTTCTCCCAAAAATTCCCCAAAAACCCCCAAAAAAATTCCAAAAAAATCCCAAAAAAATCCCAAAAAATTCCCTGGGGCCCCTCCCAGTATAAACCAGTAGAAACCAGTATAAACCAGTATAAACCAGTATAAACCAGTATAAACCAGTATAAACCAGTATGATAATCCATCAATTTCCCCCATTTTTCCCCAAAAAAACCCCCCAAAAAATCCCAAAAAATTCCCAAAAAATTCCCTGGGGCCCCTCCCAGTCCCTCCCAGTATAAACCAGTCTAAACCAGTCTAAACCAGTATAAACCAGTATAAACCAGTCCAAACCAGTCTAAACCAGTCCAAACCAGTATAAACCAGTCTAAACCAGTCTAAACCAGTATAAACCAGTCCAAACCAGTATAAACCAGTCTAAACCAGTATAAACCAGTATAAACCAGTATAAACCAGTATAAACCAGTACGTGGGGGCACCACAGGAACTGGGGGTCTCTCAGCAGCTCCAGCTCCGCCAATTTCCGGGTCACCAGGCCGAAGGTGTCGGGGTCCAGGCAGCGCCGCAGCTGCGCCCAGTATAAACCAGTATAAACCAGTATAGACCAGTATAAACCAGTATGAACCAGTACAAACCAGTTCAAACCAGTATAAACCAGTACAAACCAGTTCAAACCAGTATAAGCCATTTTTAACCCTTTATTTCCCATTTTTAACCCTTTTTTCGCCATTTTTTCACCGATTTTCCCCGTTTTTCCCCCATTTTTTCCCCTCCCAGTCCCTCCCAGTACAAACCAGTACAAACCAGTAACCCCAGCCCCCATTTCCCGCCATTTTTAACCCTTTATTCCCCATTTTTAACCCTTTATTTGCCATATTTTCCCCATTTTTTTCCCAATTTTTCCCATTTTTTCACCGATTTTCACCATTTTTTTTCCCCCCAAACCCCTCCCAGTCCCTCCCAGTATAAACCAGTACAAACCAGTAACCCCAACCCCCATTTCCCCCATTTTTAACCCTTTCTTTGCCATATTTTCCCCATTTTTCCCCGATTTTTCCCATTTTTTCACCGATTTTCCCCGTTTTTTTTCCCCCCAAACCCCTCCCAGTCCCTCCCAGTACAAACCAGTACAAACCAGTAACCCCAGACCCCATTTCCCCCATTTTTAACCCTTTCTAACCCTTTTTTCCCCATTTTTAACCCTTTTTTCCCCATTTTTCACCCAATTTTCACCCAATTTTCCCCGTTTTTCCCCCAATTTTCCCTCCCAGTCCCTCCCAGTTCATCCCAGTATAAACCAGTATAAACCAGTACAAACCAGTAACCCCAGACCCCATTTTAACCATTTTTAACCCGTTTTTAACCCATTTTTAACCCTTTTTTCCCCATTTCTCACCCAATTTTCCCCATTTTTCACCCAATTTTCCCTCCCAGTCCCTCCCAGTATAAACCAGTAACCCCAGATCCCATTTCCCCCATTTTTCCCCATTTTTAACCCATTTTTTCCCAATTTTTTCCCTTTTTTTCCCATTTTTAACCCATTTTTTCCCATTTTTAACCCATTTTTCCCCCAATTTTCCCCCATTTTTCCCCCAATTTTCCCCAATTTTCCCCCAATTTTCCCCCATTTTTCACCCAATTTTCCCCATTTTTAACCCAGTTTTAACCCTTTTTTTCCCCATTTTTAACCCTTTTTTTCCCATTTTTTCCCATTTTTTACCCATTTTTTACCCATTTTTCACCCAATTTTTCCCTTATTTTATCCCCATTTTTTCCCATTTTTTCCCCATTTTTAACCCATTTTTTCCCAATTTTTCCCCTTTTTTTCCCCATTTTTAACCCATTTTTTCCCAATTTTTC